TGTGTGTGTGTGTGTGTGTGTGTGTGTGTGTGAGTGGCAGCTGGGATATTCAAAACTAGATAAGTTAAAAACCCTCTTCTAAAGCTGCTGGATAAAATATTACAAACATTTTTTAAAAGTGTGTGGCTGAGTTGTAAGAAAGTTAGAGAAACTTCTAAGGGCTAAAAAAAAAAAGGAAAAAACACCCTGAAAAATAAAGTAGCAAATGGGCCATAACACTGAGGCTACCCTCTCTGTTTTAACCCAGAAGATATAGTTTCATTGTTTTATTTTTTAACTTTTTACTGTGAATTGGGTGAAGGTTTACAGAACAAATATGTTTTCCCTTCAACAGTCCATATATATTTTGTTTCATGTCGTTGACTGCAATCCCCACACATCTTTTGCTGACTTTCTCCTTATTGTATATTGCCTTCCCCTTCACCCAAGTGGATCTGTGTCTACCCTCAAAGACTGGTGTGTCATTGAAGGATACACACTGGACCGCAAAGTTAGTTTGAACAGCAAGGTTGGGGGTTCAAACCTACCAGCCACTCCTTGGAAACCCTATACAGGGTCACTATGAGTCAGAACCAACTTGACAACAACAACCCTCAAGTTAGTAATTTACCCTTCCTTCTTCTCCCAACCTAGTAATGATCAAGGAATGTCTCTTTTAGTGTGAATATCTTTTCTTGCACAGCTTTAAATGGCTATATAAGAACAAGAGACAATGTCTTGGATATAAGATGAAGAGATAAACTGAGGCCACCCTAAAGTAGGATCATTGACAAGAGCTCTCCAGGAAGGGGCAAACTAGGTAAAACCTTAGCCCATAATCAAAGGAACCAGTAAGGACACTTGTCAGTCTTGGCCTGAGCTGTGGGCGGGAAAACAGAAGTCTCTCTCGAGAACAGGTAACTATGGAATGATTTACACACGGATCTGGAGGTTGAAGTTATATTATCTGTGTGTCCCAGGTCACCTGACACTACAAAACACAAATGAAAGAGGTCTCCAGTAAGTAATGGAGTAGGAGGCCAAGCACAGATCTTCGGCTGAAAGCTGTATCCGCAACCAAAATGACACAGAATTCTCACAGAAGAAGCCCAGCTAAAGAAGAGTGAGTGCACATTCCAAAATTACAAATTACTTAAAGTACCAACTATCTTAAGTCAGTGTCAGCAAAAACAACACACAGTCGAACTAGGCTCGCAGATTCTTCAGTGTAATTATCATACTAAATAGAAAACCTTTGCATTAAAGATATTTAAAGAAATAAAAATAGCATGAGCAAGGAGCAATAGGTGATTTAAATTAAAAAAAAAAAAAAAAAAAGACCAGGTAGATTTGAAAAGGAATCAAGTAGGATGTCAAGAAATTAAATTTTATTAAATTAAAAAGTAAAATGACCCCACTAAACAGCAGATAGGGTACAGCTGACAAAAGAATGAACTGATTAATAGATCTGAAAAAATTACTAAAGATTAGCATAGAGGACATGAGATTGAAAATGTAGTAGATGAGTTAACAAGGTGGACAAAATGAAAAGGACAATAGTGTATTCTATAGGAATTCCAGATGGAAAGGAATAAAAGAATGGGGTAAGACAACGTTGGAAGAGACAATAGGGAAAATATTTCTGTTGTTGTTATTAACTGTTATCAAGTCGCTTCCAACACATAGTGACCCTGCATAGGGTTTCCGCGGAGCAACTGATGGGTTTGAACCACCTGCCTTGTGTGGTTAGCAGTCCAGTGCTGATCCTACAGCACCATACCAAGACTCCAAACAATTATTCGTAGAACTGATGAAAAGTAAGAATTCTCAAAATCATAAATTTCCACAAATCCTAAGTAATATTAATAAAAATAAATTCACATTGAGAAAAATCAAGGGGTCTTGGTGTGGTACTAAGCACTGGACTGCTAACCACAAGGTCAGTGGTTCAAACCCACCAGCTGTTCTTTGGAAACTCCATACATGTCACTATAAGTTGAAACCTATGGCACAATAACAACAGACACATTAAAGAGAAACTGCAAACAATAAAGACTAACAGATCTTAAAATCAGACTGAAAGAAAACAAAACAGATTTGTACAAAGGAACCATTAGACTAGTAACAGACTTCTCATAAAAATCAAAGGAATCCAAGAGACTTTGGAATAATACCTTCAAAGTGCTAAGTGAAAATAATTATCGGCCTAGAATTGCATATACAGCTGGACTGCCATTCAAAAACAAGTAAAGTAAAGATATTTTCAACTAAATATAGACAGAGTTTACTACCAACAGACCCTTACATTTCTGAAGGTTGTACCTCAAGAAGAGATGCATTAAACATGGAGAGAAAGGCTATATAATAGAAGGAATGATGAGCAAAAAAGCCCTGGTAAACATAAAAGTGGAATTCTGGTGTAGCACTGTGGGTTAATGCGCTGGACTGCAAAGTCAGTTTGAATTGCAAGGTTGGCGGTTCAAGCTCACCACCTGCTCCTGGGAAACCCTATGCAGGGTCAGTATGGGTCGGTACCGACTCTTTGGCTCTTAACAACAACAATAACAAACATTAAAGTAAATTTAAACAAACATTGGTGGCTGACAGTAAGTGTAGCTGCTGTGTGTGACCAGGTCAATTCTGAATCACAGCCACTCTGTATAGGATTTCCAAAGAGCAGCTGGTGAGTTTGAACTGTCAACCTTGTGGTTAGCGGTCCAGTGCTTATCCTACAGAGCCACACCAAGAATCCTTATTGTTATTGCTGTTAAGTGCCTTTAAGTTGGTTCCAAGTCATAGCAACCCTGTATAGGGTTTCCAAGGAGTGGCTGGTAAGCTTACACAGCCAATTTTATGGTTCAAACAGACCTTGCAGTCCAGTGCATTAATCCACAGCACCACACCAGGACTGCAGAGAAGAGAAAACTTGCAAGCAATTGCATATAAGAAGGAAGAATATACTTCATAGCATAGGGTTTTTTCATTGTTCTGGTAGATTGTACAGATATCACTTGACTAGATAACAAAGCACATGCTGAAAAGGGTAAACAAAAACAAAACAGAAGGGATAGCTTACAAACTGGCAGAGGAAAAGAAAAAGAAGGAGGAGGCTGTATTCTGTCCTCCAAGCCCCTTTTTGGCTCTGACATTCTGTAAATTAAATTTGGCCTGCAGAAATGACTATTTTGAGGCACTTCAAGATTCTGGGTCTGTAGCAGATAGTTAAGGTTGCAGAGGAGTCCTGGTGCAACGCTGTGGGTTAATGTGCCAGACTGCAAAGCCCTTTGAACTGGAAGGTCGGGGGTTCAAGCTTACCAGCTGCTCCTTGAAAACACTATACAGGGTTGCTATGAGTGAGAACCGACTCAACAGCACTTAGCAACAACAAGGTTGCAGATAGCTTAGGTTGCTGTCCTGGCATGGCGCTGTAGCATAAGCACTGGACTACAAGTTTGGATTGAACCCACCAGCCACTCTTCAGAAATCTTATACAGGGTCATTATGAATTGGAACTAATTCCACAACAACAAGGTTGCAGTAAAATTGAAGGAGCTATCTGAGAGGTACAGGTTGTGGTGTGGACTGTGCCTACCAGTTGTCTGGAATAATCAGGAACCTATGAAATGAGCAAGGTGAATGAGTGCCCCTTAAGGCCAGAGGAATGCTCTGAAAAGAACATTCAGCCCGATGTTGCAAAAGATTTTGTCTCGTTATACAGCAGGCAACACAGAAGTTACCTAAAGACCTGCAACTTCAGGTGGATAAGAAGCACTTGAAGCCCTCTAGCATAATTGCAGCAGCTACCCAAGAGCTAGTAAGTGGAGGAGTTGGGATTTGAATCCAGATCTGTCTGACCCAGGACCTGTATGCTCTGAGCCAGTCTGTTCTGTTATTCCATGAATCAGTAAAGAGTTCTGTAAGAGTAGCCATCGGTCCAAGGGACTCTTCTGTATCCCAGGAGAGAGGGCACCCATTGCCCTGCTGTTTGTCTGTAGTGTACCTGAGCTCCCTATGATGGCCAGCATCTGCCCACTTCTCACTTTGAAGCTCAGGTTCTGGATGCTCAGCTCACAAGTGTCTTGCCTGCTGGACGACATCCAGGGCATCTTTAACTGAGCCAGTTGCTCAAACCAAGGCACTTGGGAGGCCATGTTCACCTGTGGGGAGACATCAGAAGGTTCCTCAAAGAGATGACTGGATCAGAGGCCTTCAGTGGCTTTGGTCTTGATCCCCTGTGACCATGTGGTCCCTCTCCACAGGCGATATCTCCCTACCAATATACAACAGGCACCCCCGACCCCCACCTCAGGTCCTACCAAACTTGAAGGCTGAACCCAGCCATGCTGAGGACCCAAAGCTGCCCTTTCCAAATCTGAAGATAAGGTGGAAGCAGAAAAAAATAAATAAAAATCTCCAGCAAAACAGCATCTTCATTTAATAATCACTGTAATTTATTAATAGCTTCCTTAAAAAAAATTTTTTTTTATTTATTTAAGGTTTTTATTGTGGATTGAGTGACAGTTTGCAGGGCATGTCATCAGTTTTACATTCAACAAATCATACACCTTGTTTCATTACAATGATTATAATCCCCTCCACATACCATCAGTTAACAATATTACTGTCTATCCACTTTAGCTTTTTTAAAAAACAAACAAACAAACAAAAAACCACTCAGGCATATATAATAATTTACATCTCCAAAGGGCACATTCTGCAAGTCTGCCTACTGGCAACCAGCTCTGAGTCCCTCTCTTCTTAGTCTATGAATCTAGAGTCCTCAGCCACTCCCCACTCCGTGCCCCCATCTCTGCCTCCGTCTCTGGTGCTGCTGCTTCTCTGGATAAGGTCCCGCATTCTGCTTGTGCGCTTTTCTCTTGATGGTCCTAAGGTCCTCTGTTTCTGGAATGTAAGATTAACCACTCCCCTTTTTTTTGTTACAAAACTTCTACCTTTACAATTGTGACAGTCGCAATTAGTCATGGTAACAATTATTCACTATTGAATCAGACAAATCTTATCCCCATCTCTTTTCACCAGACCCATCTAGACAAGACGACAGCTATTCAGTGGGGACCCTTTCTTTCCCCCCATACTCATAAACTAAACTCCCTCTTGAAACCTTGTAAGCCAGTCACTTCATGCCTTTATTGCCCCCTCATTTTAGGCACTTAACAACAACAACAACAACAACATTTTAGGTAGCCAATGTTTAAGTTGCCCGTCCCTATCAACCCTGTATACAGAGGGGATAGCATTGATACTTGATGTGAAGATTCTTTCCCTCTCTGTTGGTATTTAGAGTAACTATTGCTCTGAGTATAAGTCAGATTCATCAAATTGAAGCAATTTACCCTTGTTTCCTTTATCCAAATAAAAAATTTATTTATTTATTTATTTTGCAATCTTTCGTTAGTCGAGTTCTGATTATCGAGCGATCGAGGCTAGGTCAAAAGGGTACTGTATGCAAGTTTGGATGTTCTTGTACATCTCCCCTCACTTCATATCAGCTGGATGCTTCACTCTCAGCACTAGCCCTCTGTGGCTATGTCCTTGTCCATGGGCTCAAGTGTCCTCAGATCTCCCCACACTTTGGACCAACCAGCCCTTCCTCTTCTCTCTCTCATCTCCAGGTTAATGGGATTCAATGTACTGGGGTTGAACTCAGCCCATTTCTTTATTGCTGCCTTTCCACCTCTTCCACTCACCAGTAGACCAATGTGGTCGCCAGCAAGCTTACATGCTTGTTTGTGTATTCCCTTTGAGTTTCAGTCTTAGAGGGGAGTTTGTCCTAAAGACACTTGATTGCTAGCCTTGATGTCTTCCTGGCGAACAGCTTGCTTATTCTTGTAGTAGCCAGTCATGCTGACATTTTTGTTTGGTTTTTTCCTGATGATCTTTCTTTGAAGATGTATCTTCTGTCACTGTAGCTGTACCAGTCTGCTTGTCCTTTCTAGTGGGAATGTCCCACCTCACAAGGTTGTGGATGGGACTCAGGATTCCACCTAAGGTTCTATACTCTGTAAAGGCTTTGCATGAGTCCTATTTCACTGGGCAAGTTCTAGAACCCCTTTTAAGTATTCCAGTCAGGTATAGGCTGAAGATGGGCTTGCAAGTTTTCTCTAATCATGTTTCCCAACATTCCTTTCTATTCCACTCAAGTGTCTATTTTACAATAGTAGGCAAGGGAAACTAATATTCATAAGGCAGTC